CCACTGTTAAACTGGAGCAACAGTAAACACATGAGTGAATGACTGAATGAGCGAACTCAGCCGCACTGGAGCTGGGGTGGGGCCCACATTCTGAGGCTTGTGACGGTGCCCTTCGCTCACATCCTGGCTGCCTTGAAGCCTGGACATGTCACACAGTCCGCGCAGCTTTGGGGAAGAGGGTTGTCGGAATCATTCCATTAATACATTAATGTGTTAATGTATGAAAACATTCAAACCTGTGAAGAATTTTTTGTGAGTCTATTTCAGCCAAACTGTCGACATATGCTGTAAGGCTCCCGAGAATGGCAGTTTTGCACCTTGCTTTATAGATTACAATCGAAGAAGACACAAGTGGGTTACAGGAAATTCACTGGTGATAGATTAGGGAGGCGAGAGAAAAGAAGGGGGGCCTCTGGGATTGGATAAAAAGTAAAGTGATAGACACTTCTTTTACATAGGTGGGTACAGATAGTTAACAGTCAACAAGATATCAATAACAATGAGAAGATTCTTGGTCTCCGCCCTGGTGCTGAAGGCCCAGAAAAAGGGGGGAAAGTACTTTGTTTTGCAAAGCATGTTAATCAGATGTGTTATCTCAGATGGGGAAAGACAACTGACAAGCTTTCTTTAACCTTTGTGAAGGAAAAATACTCCCGTAGGGTGTGACTACCAACCATAAACTGCTTATGTTTAAAAAGTTTTCATTTCAGACCATCTTCTGTGGTTACTTTAGGTCTCTGAGTTTGCACCATACAGGCCTGCTCTGAGCTTTTCAGGTTTAGCATGTAGCCCCCTTTCGTCCACACGGGCAATGCTGGGCAATGCTGGGCTGTGCGGGGCACGGATTACAACTCATTGCCCCACACTGTCCCTGTGTGGGCGTTGCCCAGCAAGGTTGACATGCGGCTTCCTGTGACCTCCCAGTTCCCTTCTGCTTTTGGTTCCTTATTTACTCCTACTGAACTTTCTCCTCTTGTTGCTGGGTGAGCATCCAGTGAAGTGCCCACATGTGGGCTGGACAGGAAGGTGCCAGGAGGCTTGCAATTCACTAGCTGTTGCAATACTTCTAAGAGAGTCTTATCAATTTCCCTTTTCAGTGCTCCTCCCACCCCTGTATCCCCCACCCCAGCTGTCAGAAGGCGCTGCCCCAGAAGAGCTGGAAATGGGCTCTAAGGCACCAAGACCCTCCCTTTTTGTCCTTACAGATTAGAGGCTACTTGGCTTTTCTCCTGTCCTTTCCCCCACCACACACAAGCACCCTGAATACAGTCTTTTCAAGTGGCAGAAAATAACTAGGTCTTTGGCCAAGTTGATCAGATTGGGGGGATGTAGCTGAAGAGGGGAAGAGACGAAGGGAAGAGGCAGGTACAGAAAATGTTGAAACTGTAAGCCTCTCAAGGCGGCGGCAGAAGGGTGGTCCTAGGTGCAGTCCTAGGTGCAGCCCCACTGCCGCCCTCCCGGGCCTGCGGCCACACTGCTCCGGCGGGGCCACAGTGAAGGCGAGACGCCCTAACCCACGCGTGGCTTAGCCTTGTCTGTTTCCGTCAGCACCTTTAATCTGGACTTTATCAGCTCACTCATTGGCAGAGGGGCAACCTCACCAGCTACTAACATGTACATACAGCGATTGCACTTCTGACCCTTGTTTCCATCATTCTCCACATTTTTAAGGTAAAGATATTGAGGCTCAGAGGGCTTAAGTGACTTGCCGAAGCTCACAGAGCATGATCTCCAATCCAAGAGAGTCCCCTAGCACCTCAAACTCTACATGTATAAACTGGCAAAAAAACCACACCCATGAAATTGAATTTACCTTTATTTTTGCAAGTGAACACGTAGAGGCTGGCAGGAAGAGCGTTTGCAGGTGGTAGCTTAAGCTAAGTGCCCACTTTGTGTCCATGAGTTTTGAATTTAGTTTTCGTGTGTGATTTAATTGACTTACTATTTTATATCCCTAAGGATCCCTGCAAGGCAAGGGTTATTACTTTCCCCATCCCGTAGATGAAGCAGTGGAGGCTCAGAAGGTTTATTTCCCAGAGACGCACTGCTAGTGAGTCAGAGCCGAGACTTGGGCCCAGCATCTTTCGGCCCCTTGGTTGGGGAAAGGAAGTTGAGAGGGAGGAAAGCGCTTCATCCACTTACCATTTCCAATCGCTGTCACTGTTTTCGGGTAAGGTCAGTAGGCTGGTTTCTGAAGAAAATCCTCAGGAAGCAGCCACCTCCGCTCCTGTCCTGGGGACTGAGATGAGCTGCTCCGCTATCCCCAAACAAAGCGCAGCTCCCTGCTCAATGCCCAGAGCCCTCCGCGGGCAAACCTGTCAGGGTGTCAGCCAACCGTGAGCGCTGCTGTTACATGACCTCTGGCTGGGGATAAGCACCGTGAAATTCAAACAACCGTGTCTAACCAAATGCTGCCCTTGCTTATTAAGGACACACACACACACACTCACACGCACACACACGCACGCATGCACACGCACCGACTTCAGGTTGCTGAGTTCTAAACAACCCCTTCTCTCTTCCTCTCCATGCCACGGTAGCCGTCACCTGCACACCCCTGCTAAGCCCTCAGAATGGAACGATGGCCTGTGCCAAGCCTCTGGGAGACTCCAGTTATAAGTCTACATGCCAGTTCACCTGCGATGAGGGCTTCTCTTTATCTGGACCAGAAAGATTGGACTGCGCTCCATCTGGACACTGGACAGGCTCCCCACCAACTTGTGAAGGTAGGACCACCAATCGGTGTTTTGTTATGGCTTCTCAGGTAACACTATGGAATGTGATCTGTGTAAAACTGTCTTAAGCTAAAGGAAACACACTTTCCACAAAGCATGATGACCTAGACCGAAAGCAGCTCCCCTCTTTTTCTCCCCCCCCCGCCCCATGATAATAACTTCAGTTGAACATTTAGCAGTTTTATAAAGTATTCTCGCCCGGCTGGGTGTGGCTCAGCGGTTGAGCTTCAGCCTAAGATCCAGGCGATCGGGGTTCGATTCCCGGCCAGGGCACATGCCCTGGTGCGGGCTCAATCAATGACTCTCTCATCATTGACGTTTCTGTCTCTCTCTCTCCTTCTCCTTTCCTCTCTCTGAGATCAATAAAGATATATTAAAAAAAAAAGTTATAAAGTATTCTCATGTCGTTATGGCATTCAATGTCACCACAATTTCGTGTTCCTTCCTTACAAAGTCTTTCTACTACACTCTTCATTCACTTTCCTGTGTTCACCCTTCCTGAGCATAGCCAAGCCCCGGACGTGAGCTGAGGTTGGGGTGGATGGCATTCACCCCAGCCTCTCGAGGACCTCACAGCCTGACGACTGTGTCCTTTCTTTCTCCCCCGACTTCTATGTGGATATAAATTCCGCAAGGGCAGGGACTGTACCTTCTTCATCCCCGTGCCCCCTGCAGCAACCAGACAGAGTAAAAGGGGGTGTGTGACAAATATCTGTTGAACCGAAGCTTATCATTTACTGGTAAAATTTATTCAAGCACAAATCCTACTGATCGTGAATTAGTGGACTAGTCAAAGGTGGGGGCTGGCTCTTACCAGTCTTTGATTTCCCCCAAACATCTGGCTGATACAGTACCTAGCATATAGTATACTCTAAAATAGACTTAGTGAATTAATTAATTCATAGGTCACGTTTACTTTCAAAAGGCACGATTGTGCTAATCGACTGTTCAGTGTACTCAGTGACAATGAGACCAGCAGTCATATTTATTGCTTTGTAGTAAGTACCAGCTGTTTCATATGCATTATCACATTCAACCCACTCAACGATCTTTACATGGTTATTTTTATTCCCATCTTAAAGATGAAGAAACTGAGGCTTTGAGAGAATAAATAGGAGGCAGCGGGCAGGTAGCTCGGAAGTAGGGCGCCAGGATCCAACGCCGGTCCAGTGGGCGACTGCGCCGGCGCTCTCAGGGCTGCGCTGCGCTGCCACCTGGTGGCAGGGCTCCTTCCCCGCAGACGCCGGGGAGTGACCCTTCCCACGCCCAGGCTGGGGCGACGGCCGCTCAGCTGCACCTCAGAAGCCGCAGCGCCTGGTGTCAGATGAGAGAATACACTGAAAGGAATTTATCATTAGCATTATGTGAAAAACAGCTAAAATATCATTTATTCTTTCCTGTGGAGTGAGCACTAGGTTAATATCCGAAGCCTGTCCCATTCTTCCTTGCCGTCACGTGCCATGTTAGAAAGTGGTGTCACACCCTGAGGTGGCAGCTTTCTCGATTCGGAAAGGAGAGGAACAGACACGATTTCCTTGGCGGACTCTTCCCTGGCCAAGAATTCTGCAGGTTAAAGGACATAAAATGCTACCATGTGCTGTCAAAAAGATCCACTACGAGTGCCAGAGGACTAGAGCAGTAATGGGGGACAGCATTAGGCCATCGCTCATTCACTTGTTTCTCACTCGTTTATTCCATCAGCATTGACCTTGAGCTCTGTCTTCCCACATTCGGTTTTCAGGCCAAACAATAAAAAACCCGTGAGAATTCTCTCACTGAAGTTTTAAATCATATATGCAACTAATATGGTTGTTTACTCTGTAATCTCTGAAGCCTGCCTGCCCCACCCACTCCTCCTAGCCCCGTTTCTCCACAAGAAGAGGTGTTTGCCTGCCCCCTGCAGGCCCAGCCCTGCCCCGTGTCTAGAATCAACCCCGGCCGCGGACAGCAGCTTCGGCCAACCGGGGGACTCAGATTTGTCATCTGTGTCTGAGCCTGACCTTGAGCTCTGGTTTTTATACCTGTGTTTCCATCTCATTCTCCAAATTCATTCTGTAGATTTTAGCAAGTAGTTCCTCTTCTCTTCCCATCTGCCCGAGTCCATGAATTGTTAACCCTCAGCGCTGACCCAGGGCCCTGATTTCCGCAGTGACGCAGCATCCTAGGCTATGTCGGGG